CTCCGCTTCCGAACCACAATCGCGAAATACCGCCCACAGTAATACTGTACTCCAATATTATCACCGTAACATGGCAGAAAAAGGAATTAGGAAAAAGCCACAATACCGGTATCATACCGGCACGCAACCCACTACTGCAAACGAAGGAAAGGAAAAGGAAAGCGTGTGGAGAAAGCGTTCGCACCGGATAGACGCATTTCTTATTTTACTTTTTGAACCCTTTTCGATTCTCCCGATTTCTAGCGCCGGCGGATTGCATTTCGGGGGGGGGGAGGAGGTGGGGACGCGATAATTGAATTCGCCCTCCTCAGACTTTATGCAGTAATTTATCAGTTACACCGCTTAATAGTTCTCTGCTGTGTGCTTCCTACGCTTTTTGCTCGGCTCTTTTCGCCCCGGACTGTGGAGGAGTACAGGCGCTTGTAAACTGGAGATGAAGGACTGTGATGAAACGGAGGCTCCGCACGCTCGGGTCCGCTGAGAGGGGTCGAGGGTGCGAAGGGAAAGATGCAAAGTCGTCCGAGCAACGGTGGAATGTTTACTCGGGTTGTTCTACCTGTACCAAGTGCTACCGGTGCTGTATACTAGTAACTTATGAGTACCGTAACGGAATACTTCAGAACGTTGCCCACAATTGGTTAGCTGGAGCACGTAGCGGTCGGCGTGAATTGATGAAGCTACAAGTAAAAGATCCTAATACCGGTATGTACTGCACCGCAGTAATTATTTCCCAAAGAGCGTCGGGCGCAGTGTGGGTAGGAAGGATGGTCATATCAAGACCACCATTCGCCATTCACCATTCCATCATCCATCGTCACCCACCGCAGTTTCGACTCCGCTTAACTATCCCCCCCCCCCCCTCCATTCCCAACATATGGGCCTTCGTAGCACACCGCAGGGTGCGGTAAGTAGAGTGCATGGCCCAATTTTTGTGATCGCAAACAAGTAGGTTAGCGTTCCCTGCACGGGAAAAGCGAAGGTAGCCCTCAGAGCCCTGGGTGGAATTTCCGTATCCAATTATGCAGGCATAATTCCTGTGCTACAGAACCGACAAGATGGGTGATTGGGTTGTACTGCAAAGATGGGGGGGGGGGGAAGGGTGTAGGTAACCTTCTAAGCATCTTATCGGTGCAGTCCCTCTCCCTTGCTTGCCTGCTTTTCCCAACCGGCCAACCCTCCACAATAATAATTGAGAGGGAAATATCATAATCAACAAAAGGAGGGATGCATCCCCCTGACCCAGAAACTCGAACAATTGGTTATGCATGGAAGGCGAGGGAATGGTCCTTCATCCTTTTTCCTTTTTCTTTCTTTTCCAAAAAACCCCCCCTTAGATCGAGAGGAGAAAAAAGAAAAAAAGAAAAGAAAAGAGGAGAAAAGGCCTTCATGTGGTCGCTGTTTTTGGCATTCGGGCGCGCCCTGCGAACGAGGGACCCTTCTTGCTTTTCCCCCACCCACCTTCCCCCGGGCACGCATTCCTCTTCCTTTTTTCTTTTTTTCTTTTTCTTTTCCTTTTCCTCTTCCCGACCAATACTGTAGACTAACCCAGGTGGTTGAACACCCCCCTCGCCAAAGGAAACAAGTCTGCATGGGCCACGTTTGTAATTCCGATTTAGACGGTGGCGGCTTTAGTGATATCTTTATTTTATTTTATTTTAGCAGAGAAGAGAGAGCCCTCCGTGCATATAAGGCTGATGAGTAATTCGGTTTTAACACCATATTAACCCCAGACTAGCAAGAGGGGGGCAGGGAGTTATCCGTGATCAAGTAATCGCTACCGGTAGCGGAGCGGACCCGTGTTATTGGCTCTATGCAGTCGACAAAAAAGAAAAGAAAGAAAAAAAAAGGGTGGATGTCTAAATAGGTGAATGCCGTATGCCCGTGATATGTCACTACCGCAAGTTACGATGCGCGTACGATACGCCCGCAAAAGTGTAGTCGCTGAGGGTACCAATACGGTAGTCAAGGTCGAAAGCTTCCCCCCTCCACAAAATCCATAAATAGTAACAAAATCTATGACGCCTCGCGCAAGGACGAGTACTGGGCGGCCCCGATCCGGTCGGGGTGCAATCTGGATATTTCTACCCAAGATCGTATTCTATCCGGTGGGGCATTTGGGAATGCGTTTGGAGTTCCTTCAGGATACATTCCAGCGGCTCGGAGTAAATCAGTCTACGCCGAACGGGCCTCAAGCGAGCACTTGTCAACAGTACTCGAGTACTGTACCGGTAGCCGTTTTACTTAGCCCCGCCCTTCACTGGTTAACTGAGCACCCGCGAAGAATGGGCCCAAAGCCACCACCGCCAATTGGTTGCCGGCATACCGACACAGATCATTGGACCGGAGTCGGGGATGAGAGGGCGAATGCTGTGTTTCCCAAGGCTGGACTAGGCTGGACTAGTGTGAAATATGACGAGTCGAGTGGGCCAAACCCTGTAGCCTCCAACACCATAGCGGTATATTTAGCTGTCAAATGATTCGAATGCTTCCAGAATGTCTCATCCTCCATCCAGTACACCCGTTCCACTTGCTTTCTTTTTCGCCATGCAAGAAGCTGGGCCGTGGCTGAGCCCTTTGCCGCCGATGTGATCCTTGGGTTTGCCTCCATGTCTATTCTCGTTTCTCCCTCCCGGGCCAGCGACCAAGACAGCTCGCGCTCGCCTCCTTCACCTCACACCCGCCCCCAATCACGGTTCAGCACACTGCTTTGGCAGAAAACCGTTTACACCCCCACCGCAACGTCGTATCCCTCCCTTCGTACCGACGGAGCCACGCTCTCGCCCGCCTTTTACCTGAAATGGCACTAATACCGCCTAATCCGGGCAAATCTCCAGCAGATCCCCGGAGCCAGGAGCGTTTATTGGCGGGCTCACCATCAGAAGAAGATCTCAGCTATGCCCCACAGGCCCAGTATTCCACCAGCTCTCGAGCTAAAATTCCGTGAGACTCGGCGTACGGATGGAAGGGATAATACCTGTACGGAATGCACCCGCGCTCACAGCCAGCCAGCGGCCCCCATCTTGGTGGGTACTTGTACGCTACGAGTATCGTACAACGGAATAAATGCTTGCATCTGGAACAGAGCACTCGTAGCCGTATCAGGAGACGGGAGAGGGTTTCTTTTTCGCTGGCTGGACGGTGTTGTGCGACGACGGTCGTATTTTGAGATACTTGCACTTATTGCCAGATACCGGTACAAGTACACGTACGGGCACAACACCCCGTAGTCCATCACCACGTCCAAGGGACCGGTGGGGTAGAGCACAGCACAGTACCAGTTTGAAAAATCCAGGCAATTCATTACCGTTTAAGGAAGGACACTTTCCGGATCCCATCGCTCCCCCGAATAAGATCTCTCGAGCCCAGCACACAGCGGACGAAGGGATACCGTGGATGCGAAATAAAAATAAAAATAAAAAAAGATCACACAGAGCTCGAGTACACTTTCAGTATATGAATTTAAAGTTCCCTTCCACGGCTCGAGGAACTCCTTACTCAGATCGAGCGGCTCTCCGGAAAGGGTGTAGGAAAATCATTTCCCCATTATCCAGGCCCCAGCCTTTTCTGCCCTTTTTTTCCCCTCGGGAGGTCCCTGCCCGGTCTTTTTCCGGACCCTTCTCGATTACGGTAGGAACGGGGTCTCGAAGCGAGTCGGATTTCTAAAGAGTTGGGTTATTATTATACCCGTATACACGGACAGATGTGACTATTCCCGTACCACGGTTCCAGCACCGGATACCGGTGCTTTGTACTGAAAACATGGCCGACTATTTTTTTTTTCTTTTCCCCCCTTCTCTGCTTCCGCGCGCAAGACCTATTCACATCGCCGTGTGTGGGGGCTGTGATAATATGGTCTAAAACCATTGTATCATAGTGGCATTATACGTTACGGCACGATTGGGGAGAGGTTCGATCCAGGAGAAAATTGTTTTGGCACTAAAAGATTAGATGTACTCGGGCACAGCACCGTATCGTTTTTGACATGTCGGTATATCTTCCTTCAGCCCCGAGGGCTCAAAACAACGTAAGGTGAAGTGGGGGTGCGGTACCGTGCTAGAGCTCGACCGAGCCAGCGTTCGTGATGCGCTAGGGGGTACAGACAAAGTGTTCGTGACAATGCATGGAGCTATGTTATTAGCGCAGTACTGGTATGGGATCTAATGCACTGAAAGGACGCACGAAGGGTGGGTCGTATAGGTTGGTTACAGGCGTGACTTGCTATCACGTTCGCATGAAGGAGAGAATTCAAGAGATATGGGGCATCATACCGATAATTAATCGGTCTGAAGAGGCTGTGGAGCGGAATAAAGGATGAAGGCTGAGTACTCGGGTATCATATCATACCGTATGTGCTCGTAGGGCAATGTGTGAGTTACGTAACCAGGGTTAGGGACCCCGTGGTGGGTGAGGGATAACGACAGCGTACGGGTAGCTGGGGAGGAGGATGTTGGAGTTGTTTGGTAATGGGGCCGTAGGGTACGGTGTGGTGTAAGCAGTTTTTGGTTACCGGTATCGTATTATACGGTATGAGATACGGTAAAGCTCACTCCTCTCTACTCTACGGTACTCTACTCTACTCGTACTGTACTCTACACTACTCTACTCGCACTCTCCCCAAATCCCAGAGGCCGCAACCGCCCCCATCCATGGCAACCGATCAACTCCGCCCAACCCTTTTGGGTAGGGAACGGATTGCAGTGGTGCTTCCCCAGCTTGTAACCCAAACGGGGAAGCACCATTCGAGGTTGGGTCTAAAAATGAACATGGGATCGCTCTCGATGTAAGGTGCTTGGTCAGAGTCTCGGCGATTCCAAATGTAGCGACATGCAGGCAGTGTGACCCACCGTGTATGCCCTCCAAAATTGTGGACCCCATCCGCACAGAAGATTCTTTGCAGTCTTCCTTTCGGGATGGGAGTAGGGCTGGGAACTCGCCCGCTGCAAGTACTTAACTAAGGGCCTCTCATCCTCCTCCTCACACCCCCCCCCCCCATATCGTCCAAGCTTCTCGCATCATCACACCGGCACATTACTCAACACCCACTACCTCAAGAGCCCAATCAGTACTCGCTCCTGCCAGCTTCAGCTACCCCAGCTGCGTCGAACATTCAGACATATAAAGAGTTGGGGAATCCGCACTTGATCGCTCAACCCTTCCATCCAACATCTGCTCCAACATTCTCACTATCGATATGCACACCACTGGACACTACCCATTCCACACACCCGCACCCGCAATGACTTCGGCAACCCACTACAACACCCGCCCGGTCCCCAGGGCAACGAATTCGTCGCCCACAGAATTCAGAGGCAGCACGAACCCGGATGAGGATTGGACCAAGATCTCGGATCTTGCTGAGCGCCGAAGGATTCAGAACCGCATTGCTCAGCGCAACTACCGTATGTTTTCCGCAGTCACTGCTGCCACCGCAGTTCAATATAGGGAATAGAGAGAAACTAAAAGCTCCCAACAGGCAAGAAGCTGAAGCGCCGCCTTGAGGACCTCGAGCGCCGCGCCGCGTCTCGCTCCATCTCCCCCAACGGCGAGGACACGGATGGGAGATCCACCCGGGAATCATCAGCAGAGCAGCCCATCGTCTCTCCCCCACCCCCGCCACCGCAGGTCCTCTCTGAGGCCCCATTATCGAGGGAGAACTACCTTCCCCCACTGAACAACCCAGCATACACCAGCACCGCCAGCTACCCATCACAGTATCGCAGTGCGGCCAGCAGCAACTCCAGCCCATTCTCATCATCATCACCCACCCCCTACTACCCATCAGCCGGCGCACCCATCAACGATGCAGCATCATTATCGCACTACGAGCCTCCGAGCTCGCACTACATGTATGCCTACTCGCAACCAACACTGTCTTCAGTAGTGGAGGCGACCTGCGGATCCGGAATCGGTTCATCGGGGCCAGAACACACCTATCTTCCTCTCCCCTCGACGAGAATCTCGTCCAACAACTATCATCACTCGTACAGCGATTACATCACTCCTAAGACTGCTTCGGTTTTCGACGAGAACTCGATGAATCCCTTTTACCTCAGCTACGCCGGTTTAGCTGGTAAGTCCCTATTCCCCAGTGTCTCGGGAGAGAAAGAAAAAACAAAAAAACAGGCGCTAACAAACCCACTCCAGAGTCTCCAGATCCTTCATTCTTCACTTCGCAATACTACCACGATGACCATTCATCACCGTCGTCCACGACTTCGGCACACTCCCCGCCGTTAGCCATCAAATCCGAATGAAGAATTACTCACTTCCTTCCCCAACCAACCTTGTACTTCAGTGTAATTATAATGAATTAGATCTTGTGAGCTGGGTTTTCTTGTTTACTTGTCATTCTTTTTTCTCTCTCCTCTTTTTCTTTCCTTTTTCTTTCCTTCATTCTTTCCCTCCTCCCCTCCTTGTTCCTCCGGTGTTTATTTTTCTATTTGATTTTTTCCTTTTTTTTTTTTTTTTTTTTTGTTTCGGTGAGCGAGCGCATTATAGGTTTCTGGTTCAGTTTAGGGCGGCTTTTCAGTTTCTCCTGTTGTGTTTTTCTTATTCCTTCACCACTCTTCCTAAAGTTTATTACGATATTTCTAGATTGGATAAAGTATATTAGATACGATAGCCGGTGGTGGACAGGGGATCTTTGAATGAGAGGGATGTGTGGGATGATGTGTGTGGTGGGGGGGGGAGGGGGGAAATGGTATCTATCGTTAGCACGATTGAAACGAACGACGAGACATGAAGTTTCTTGAATAACTTATGATACTACTTTACTGTTGTTACCACTTCTGCACACGCACACATACAGCAACTAGCACGAGTACATCTCGCTCGCTCGCCCTCAGTGACACCTCCCCGTTCCATTCCATCCTATCTTTCACAAGCAACCCGGCAGTGGGAAAAGAGAGGAAAAACAATCTATTCGGGATCATCAGCCGCTTGTCCTCTGCGCAGGAAAAAAAAAATCCATTCCTTGTACCGCAACTTGCTTTTTCTTTTCTTTTTCTTCCTTTCCTTTCTTTCTTTTCCCCCATCGGAAAAACAAAAACGAGAATATAAAGAAAAGAAAAGAAAGGAAGAAGAAAAAAAAGAAAGGAAAAAAGATGGTCCACAGAACAGGAAAAAGAAAAAGAAAATGGGGAATGGACTAAAACTTGCCCTGCGGGAATTTGCGCTCTCCCTTTTTCTCTATGGTTTCCGCGTGAGACATTCTACTTTGTGCTTCTGGGGTTTTGGCACAGTTGCTTGGTTGCTTGGTTCATCCCCCCTTCTATCATACGGTACTCGAGTACAATATCATAAACCTCATCCATCATATGGCGAGGGAGGTGCAGGTCTGGTCAAGTTAGAATCTAATTATCATACCTGACTTTTTGCCTAGACTACCTTGCCTTACCGTGTTTTACTTTACTTTTCCTTTTCCTACCGTTTAACGTACTGTACCGTACTGGCATGCATCCGTCCATCCATCCAACTGTCCCTGTAGCCGCGAGGAAGGGGTGAATAAATGAGTAAATAGATAAACAGAACTTATGCACCGCACGTTAGTTAGTCTAGGTCGACACCAAACGTTGGACCATGATATAAATTTAATACTGTACGCATTTCTGGACTACTACTGACTGGAGAAAACATGCGAGGAGGGCAATTTCCTAGTCCAACAACGGTAGCAAAAAAATTTATCATACTCGTTACGTTTTTTTTTTTTTTTTTTTTTTTTTCCCTTTCTCTCTCTCTCCGTTTTTAACTTTTTGTTAGTTGCTCTTGGCCGGTTCGTACAAATAAAATAGGTGAAGGGAGAAAAAGAAAAAGGTAAAAAAAAAAAAGAGAGAAAAAGCACAAATGTGAATAAGAGCACGAACCAAACTGCGAGATGTTCCCCCTCTTTTTTGTTTTTGGTTTCCTGGTTTGAGTGAGTGACTGTATTCTTTGTCGTTTTCTTTTTCACTTCATGGGATGTCGAGAATTTACTACTGGTACTGTATCGTACCGTATAATACGTCCCCCGTATGCTACGCTTTCCCGACTGCTGCTGTGTCTCACCGCTTCTGTACTCGAGTACGAGTACGGTACGGTACAATTCTTTTTCTTTTGTACGAATGACGTCGGGTGGTACTCGTACTCGTACTATGCTATGCTATGCTTTTGCTATGCTACCTACCTACGCGACGCAAGGAATGGAGGAGGAAGAAGGAAGGAACCTTCTACTCTTCGCCGTCGCATTGCCTCTTTCATCCCTTCCACAAACATTTTCCTTTTTTCTTCTTCTTCGCTCTCCTTAGCGCAAAAACATGTCATGTCTCATTTTATGCTTCTTCCTGTGCCCCACGATTTTGTTTCTTGGGTGAATCATTTCGCCTCCTAGGGTACGAGTACTCCTCCGCCTCCGCAAGCAACGGCCAAGTTTTTTTTCTCTCCGGACCCCATATGCAGGCGTAAACTTCTCAAGTGGGTTTCTTTTTTTTCTTTTCTTTTTTTTTCTTTCATAAAACGGAGCACAGGCGTAAGGAGAAATCACCGGTCGGTCTGCCCGTCGGTCGGTAGGTCGGTCACTCACTCACTCGGGGGAAGAGCTGATCTGTTCAAAAGTCACGTACAGAAAAGGGCACTTATGTGTGCAATTGTCCAGACAAAGTCTGAAACTTGGGAGAAGAAGGGCTGAGGCCGAGCTGTCGCAACGGTGGATACGGTAGACTATCATCAGGCAGCTATTAACTTATCGTAGCTAGCTATCATAGCCAAGTTAGCTAAGTTAGCATACGGTAATCTAGTCAGTCCGTCACCACGCCTGTTCTGTTTTCCGCGTGGCTTCTTGCCGTCGCACATCCCGGTGCAAAGTTTTGAGCTGTGGAATTGGAGAAGGGCTTGAATCGATTGGAAAATATGGTTAGCACCTCAGGGAAGGGAGCGGATCTCCAGTATCGTAGTCTACCGGTTTTCCCACTCCCCCCCCCCCCCCCCGCCATACCGGTGATACCGGTGGCATTTTTTTTTTTTGCAAGGGATTAACGCTTTTTCTCATGTCTCGGGAAAAGAAAGAAAGAGAGAAAAGAAAGAAAAGAAAAAAAAGGAAAAATCCCCACAGGGTCCGAATCGTTGTTGATGCATCCAAGAGATCTGGTTAAGAAAATTACGAGATCTGGAAAAGTACGAGTACTGTATCTGTATCCTAGGGATCCTTCCTTTCGAACTGAGACCTTTTTTTTTTTTTTGCCAATGGACGGACTAAGGGGTATCGTACAGTACTACTTTGTACTTGTACCGTGCTCTGCGCTACAGCACTGTGCAGTATAGGTTCCTATTGTATCCGCTGTTTCTACTGTACAGTACCCATTTATCACTCCAATTTAAGTTCCCATCTCCGGGCTCGACTCCAGCCCTCTAAGGTATATAATTATATATATATTCACTCCACAATTACTCGTTGCGGGCGAGGAGTACTAGTACAGGGCAGTGACGGGGGGGGAAAAACAAAAAAAAAACAGAGCCTACTACGGTAGCCGTTTTCTTGCCCCCCCTCCCCCCAAACGAATTCGAGGGGTCCAAAGCAGAGAGAAAGCTGGACAGAAAGTCTACGGAATTGAGAAGGAGGATCCATGTCATGTACCATACGAGCGCCTTTTGTACTCCAGCATACAAGTTGCGCCCTCACACATGGTCTCAGGTCGCCTACAGGCCCTATGCCACCGTTGCATAAAGCAAAACGGAGCACCGATTCACAGGATGGATGACTCCATCATGGGAAGGAATATCGTAGTTATTCTCCCGGTAGTTTCTCGAAATTCACCATCCGAGTCACTCGTAGCGTCGAGTCGTGAGTCTCTCTCTAAGGATGGCCCTTTTTTTTTTGCGTAAACCAACTAACCGTTTTCAGTCCTTTTGTTACCCTACTATTGTGGTAACCGGTAGTCTGTATCTGAGCTATCGGCCCCCAATTGATGGTACGAGGGGGGAGGGGGAGGGGGGGAACTCTAGGAAAAAGTTTCCCTTTTAGAGGATGGGTGAACCCGTGTTTGTACTCCTCTTTTACTTGTACTTGTTCCCGCCTCCCCCTCGTCCAATTTTACCATGCACCAGGCTTGAGCTGGTGCATCGCACAGTACCAACTGCGGTAATAAAGTTGGCTGAAGCGACACAAACACTCACTCACTCGCCTACACTCAGGCGGATAGAAGCCCGCCGTCACACGTGGTTTGGAGGGGGACAGAGCGCGCGCCGGGAGATATATCGGATTGCGGTCGTTCGACTTGTTCGCCAGGTTATCAATCTCTTGCCCGCCTCTTTCCGCCAAGTGCGCAGCAGGCTCTCGATAGATGGGTATAATATATGATCGGCCGTACCGGTACAGGTACAGTACAGTACAGTACAGTGCCTTTAAATACCGTATTGGTCATTACCAGACTCGTGATTGTTTTGGTGTGCGTGTGTGTGTGTGTGTGTGAGTTGATGCTACGAGTATGATACTCGTGGATGAGGAGAAATAGGGAGGCCGAGAGCGAGCAGAAACAACCGTGCCGTAAGGAGGACGTGTGCCGTTACAGTGGACTTGTCCAACCGGCGCATCGACGCAAGCCCATACCAAGAACCACATGCGTGCCTCTCAACGGCGGAGAAACTACGCACCGCGACTAAACCCAGTTTGTGAGTTAGCCCTCCCCGCTGGCCGCAGGGGCGTCCACACCAGGGCTATCACTCACCTACGAGTAGATATTCCGACCATCGTCGCCCCGATGGAGGAAGGGGGAAAAGGAAAAAAAGAAAGAGATAGAAAAAAAGCGGTGAGTTCGCGCTTCGAGTCTTTGGCTTTGTCTTTCTTTTTTTTTCTTTTTTCTTCTTCCTTTGACTCTGATAACTAATGCCGTGCTCGTACATACCGGTACGCACGTTGGGTTACCAAGCCGCGGTAGGTCCACTCGAGTATCGTAACGGGTCCCGATCCACGGCATCCATCGCGGATCCCAAGGCAACTATGGGTAGCACGGTACAGTTACTCGAGCACTGTACCGGTATTGTGCATACAGGAGAAACTCATGATGATGGTGACAAAGCTTTGTCCTTCCCTCCCTTTCACCCTCCTCCCCCAACTACGATGGGTTGATGCACGGTATGTGCCGCAGGTGAGGTATCTTGGATGTTGTACGGTACGATACCGGTGCGGTAGTCCCCCGTGCACTAGGGGTTTTCAAAGTTAAAAAGGTAGCAAAATTTTAGCTTACTTTGGTGTTTTATGTAAACTTGGCATGCACAGAAATGGTTAATTTACTGTTACTTAACTTTACCATACCATAGGATAGAGACGGAGGTCTGGAGGTCGGTACCGGATACTGGT